TAATCCAAATAAGGAAACCCTCATGTATATACCATATGTTTCAAATGATTAAGGATCAGGTGACAATATTCCCATTCTAGTGTTAGAGATAAATATAAATGTGACTAAACATCATAGATAATGATAATTATCAAAACATTAACATCATACCTGTCCAAACAGGTGCGGGTAGTCGCGACGAACATCCTCCTCGCGCTCCTAAGAAATCTCTTCGGCTCCTTGCCGGTTCCACTGCACCTTCACTAATGGAATGACTTTATTTCTAAGCTTTTTATTCTCTCTAGCAAGTATGCATACCGGAATCTCTATAGTAGTCAAGTCATCCTGAATCTCAATCTCTGGTGAATCAATCACTCTTTGTTGCTCATCATCTCGCAGATGCTTCTTAAGCATCGAAATATGAAAAACATCATGTATGCTCGACATTGATGCTGGCAGGTCTAACATGTAAGAAACAGCACCAATACGCTCGATGATCCTGAAAGGACCAACATATCTCGGAGCAAGCTTCCCCCGTCTACCGAAACGCTGAACGCCCTTCATCGGTGATACTTTTAACATAACTAAGTCTCTGACCTGAAACTCCAAAGGTCGTCTCCGCTGATCTGCATAGCTCTTTTGCCGACTCTGGGTTGCAAGAATGCGCTCTCGAATCAATGCCACCTTTTTCGTGGTCTGTCTAACTAACTCCGGACCAATCAATAAACTATCCTCTGGTTCTGTCCAACATATAGGTGATCTGCAAGGTCTCCCGTACAAAGCTTCATACGGTGCCATCCCGATGGTAGCTTGATAACTATTATTATATGCAAATTCAATCAGTGGGATGTGATCCTTCCCAGCTACCCTGAAAATCTATAATGCACGCTCTCATCATGTCCTCTAAGATCTGATTCACCCTCTCGGTCTGTCTATCTGTCTGGGGGTGGAAAACACTGCTAAATGACAACTGACTGCCAAAAGCATCCTAAAAACTCCTCCAAAAATGACATGTGAAGACTGAGCCCCGATCTGATACAATCGTCTTCGGAACTCCATGCAATCTAACAATCTCCCGAATGAAGATCCTCGCATACATATCTGTCGTATAAGTCGTCCTCATAGGTAAGAAATGTGCATACTTGGTCAATCTGTCCACTATAACCCAAATAGAATCATTTCCTTTCTTTGATTTAGGCAACCCCACTATGAAATCCATGGAAATATCTGCCCACTTCCACTCGGGAATGGGTAAAGGCTGTAGGGTTCTTGCAGGTCTCTGATGTTCTGCCTTAATCTGCTGACATGTAAAACACTTAACTACATATTCTGAAATCTCTCTGCGCATACCGCTCCACCAGAAATGCCTCTTCAAATCCTTGTATATTTTCGTCGTGCCTGGATGCACTGTATATCTACTGCGATGTGCCTCATCAAAAAGTTCCTTCTTTAGTTGTAAGTTGTTCGGCATGACAATTCTGCCTTTCATCCGAAGGCCTCCGTCTATCCCTATAGTCCAATCATCTTTGGACTCTTTGGAAATCTCTCCCTTACGGGTTTGAATCCAAGAATCCTCTATCTGAGCTTTGACCACTCTATCTCTCCAAGATGGCTGTACTGATAAAGCTCCTAAAAACACACGGCTCCCGCCAATCTCTGGCCTAAAATCAAAGTGACTAAGGATATTAAGATCCTGATGAAGTGAACACCTCAAAGCTGTTAATCCATGACGACGTTTCCTGCTTAATGCATCTGCTACCACATTCACCTTTCCCAGATGGTACTGAATAGCAAACTCATAATCCTTAGTAAATTATATCCATTGACGCTGTCTCTAATTAAGTTCTTTCTGAGAAAAGAGGTATTTTAAACTCTGGTGATCCGTGAATAGCTCAAACTGTACTCCGTACAAGTAATGTCTTCACGCCTTCAGTGCAAATAACACTACTGCTAGCTCTAAGTCATGCGTGGGGTAGTTTTGCTCATGAGTCCTCAACTACCTCAAAACATAAGCTACAACTCTATGGGTCTGCATCAATACACCTCCAAGACCCGATAAGGATGCATCCGTGTAGACAAAAAAGTCTTATCACTGCTAGGAATAACCAAAACTGGTGCTGAAGTCAACTTAGTCTTCAAAGTCTCAAATTAGGAATAACCAAAACTGGTGCTGAAGTCAACTTAGTCTTCAAAGTCTCAAATGCCTTCTGGCACTCTGTGCTCCAAATACTGGTGCTGAAGTCAACTTAGTCTTCAAAGTCTCAAATGCCTTCTGGCACTCTGTGCTCCAAATAAACTATACACCCTTCTTAGTAAGGTGTGTAAGCGGTGTGACAATCTTCGAGAAGTCCTGAATAAATTTTTTGTAATAGCCTGCCAGGCCTAAGAAGCTACGAATCTCAGTAACTGTCTTCGGTGGCTCCCAATCAAGTACGGCTTCTACCTTAACCGGATCTACTGCAATGCCCTCCCGGCTGATGATATGACCCAAAAATCTAACATCTGATAATCAAAATTCACACTTGCTAAATTTAGCATACAACTGGTGCTCTCTCAATATTTGCAATGCTAGCCTCAAATGCTGCTCATGCTCGGCCTCCGACCTCGAATAGATAAGAATATCATCGATGAAAACTATTACAAACTGGTCCAAATAAGGATGAAAAACCCGATTCATCAAATCCATGAATACTGCGGGTGCATTGGTCAGCCCAAATGGCATGATAAGAAACTCGAAAGACCCATATCGAGTCAAGAAAGCGGTCTTAGGAATATCCATCTCCCGAACTCACAACTGATGATAACCAAAACGAAGATCTATCTTCGAGAAACACTGTGCTCCCTGCAACTGGTCGAACAAGTCATCGATCCGCGGTAATGGGTACCTGTTACGGATAGTGACCTTGTTCAACTCGCGATAATCTATACATAATCGCATACTCCCGTCCTTCTTCTTTACAAAGAGGACTGGTGCTCCCCATGGAGAATGACTCCGTCGAATGAAGCCCTGAGACAACAAATCATCTATCTGGATCTATAGCTCCCTCATCTCAGCAGGAGCCATACGGTAAGGAGCTCGGGAAATCGGTGCGGTGCCTGGCTGCAACTCTATGCAAAACTCGACCTCTCTCACTGGAGGTAATCCTGGTATGTTCTGGAAGACATCCTGGTACTCTGAGACTACTCGCATCTCACTCAAATCTGCGCCCCGATCCCGTAATACCACCTCCTCTACGTACGCCAGAAATGACTCCGCAAACTGGTTGCCTCTAGAGGTTGCTATCACTAACTCATATCCATCAACTGCTCGCAAACTGACTATTTTCGCAAAACAGTCGATACTCACATGGTAGGAAGATAGCCAATCCATACCAAGAATCATATCGAATTCAGACATATGCAACACGATCAAATTAATCGCGAACTCGGAATCATCCAAGCTGACGATGCATCTCCTACAAACACTCTCTAACAGAGATATCTCTCCCAACGGGGTAGATACAGATAAAGGAAAATCTAACAGTTGAGCTACAAGCTGAAGTCTAACCATAAAATCATAGGAGATAAAAGAATGCGAAGCACCAGAATCAAAAAGAATACATGATGGAAAGGAATTCACACGGAATGTACCTTCCACCATAGCTCCGCTCGCGCCATGATCACGAGGAATAACTGCATACACCCTACCGGTCTGCTGCTCTGCATCACCTGGAGTGAATGGTGCCATCTGCCTCTGCTGGGTCTCCTGGACCGTTCGAACCTGTCCCTCAATCCTCGGGACTGCTGGAGGTGCCTCTATCCTCAGCTGCTGGCCCTGACCGCATCCTTGAGCGCGGTTCTGCTGATGCTGCTGAGTCCTGCTCTGCTAGCCTTCTGTGGGTGCACTACGACACTCTGCTGCTCTGTGTCCAATCTTATTACAGTTGTAACAAGCTCCCTGAAATCGACGCTGCTACTGCGCTCTCTGGTCCTGCTGATGGCCCTTCTTATGGGGACCTTGCTGATGCGGACCCTTACCCTGTTGGTGGGGTCCTCGTGAGCTTCCAAATGGTCTCTTACCCTTTCCTTTGTCCTCAGACTATCCTGACTTACCGTTGTCCTTGCCCTTGATAAATAAGGCTGTATCTGTCTCCTGAGCCATGGCAGCATCTGCCACCTCCCGCACTGAACGAAACCTCTGAGATACTATGTAACGGCACAACCCCGGACAAAGTCCCATCAAGAACATCTGAGCCTGACGCTCCTCTGTGTGCCACATACCGGTGAACCTAAGCAATGACATGAACTTACTCTCAAAGTCCATGACATACATACCCCCCTGCTCTAGACGAGCCAGCTCCAACTCTTTTCTGGCTTTCGCTGCAGCCGAAACATACTACTAATCAAAAAGATATATAAAGGTCTCCTACGAAACAGTCATCCTCTGTTCTGGGGTGAAACGAAGCCTATACCATCCTCCTGCATCGCCTTTGAGGCTGAAAGCCGCTAGCCTCTGCTTTTGTACAGAATTAACATTCAGCATATCCAAGATGTTACTCACATCCTCCTTCCATTTGTGTGCGGCGATAGAGTCCGTCGAACCATGAAATTCTGGAGCCTTCAACTTCTGGTACCTCTCTACCAAGCGAAGCCAAGCCTCCTTCTCAGCCACTCCATCATCAACTGGAGGTGGTGGCGAAACTATTGGTGTCCTCTCTGGTATCTCCTCCTGAATAGGAGTTTCCTAACGAGCCTGATCTGCTAATTGCTCCTCGATAGCTGCCAACCGAGTTACCAAGGGCGCTATGAGATCCACTAAGTACCACGGAGCTCGCTGTGGCTCGGGCTCCCTATCATCCTGCTCAACTCCCTGAGCACGAGTAACTCGGCGTCCACGACCTCCTCCTGACATCTATAATTCCAAAATAAAGCTTATTACGCAGTAAATTGGATCTCAAGCATGAAGGATATAACATATACCAATAAGTAAATCGTATCACATATATCTCATATCATGCTTTATTATTCAAAGCAAATAGATCATCATAAAAAAAATATTTAGATTTTCCGCGTACATATATAGTACGTCCTCACTCATGCTAAGGATTCCTAGCAGACTGTATACATGATCCCTAGGAAACTCTATCCTAAACTCCATAATATGACACATGTATGATCCTAAGGATATGAGAACTAGAGCTCTGATACCAACTGTGACGCCCCAGGGTTCACACAAGGCTGCAGTCCCAGGTAAAACCCGGATTGTCAAACCTGCCAAGCACCAACACCATGCTACGACATATTTCACCATCACAATCACTATCTCTCTAGTGGAAATAATAAATAGATGAAGGTATAGACAGGTAAAAAAATCAAAATTTGAACAACACTAAAAATGTACACAGAAGAAGCATAAGAAATATTAGTAATGAGCCCAACTGGAATGAAGTAGAAATATCACTGAGTCTGAATTGAGTCTCAAATATAATGAGTCAAATAAACAAAGTCTCACAAGAATTCTCAACTCTAAAATAAAATACCAATCTAGAGTCTGAAAATAATCAACTACATGTGGAGTTCTGTAATAACTACAAAATATAATAAATAGCTAAACAGACAACTAAGATGTCCCATCAACCTGCGACTCTCCGTGCGCCAGACTCGCTGCCTGAAAGAGGATAAACAACGAGCGTCAAAGCGCTAGCGAGATCATCACTACCTCTCCTCAGGGGAAGGGGTAAGAGTATATAAGAAAATAGAGTTAGGACATGCATATATCAAATTATTCATATAGCTCTCTATGAAAAACAAATAGTCAAGGAAACATACTCAAAACTCCAACATAAAGAATAAATACTGCTTCTCGAATTACATCCGAGTAACCTGCTCTAATATAAGAGGATGCCAACCAAAACGAATATAACTTCCGTTCATAACGGGTGTGCCAAAACTCAAAGGAAATACCCTACTCACGGGTAGTCTATCATGAAAGTAAAACTTACAACTGATCAATTATCTATGTGTGCATCATCTTGTACTATAGCGATACTTTTGTAATATTCTTACTCAATCGCTCTGCGGCAATAGGATTTATTATCTCCCTATTTCGGATACATAAAATAACGATACTATTGTAATACTCTTACTCAATCGTTCTGTGGCAAATAGATTTCATCTTCCTATTTTCGGATACGTATAAAATAACATTATTCATATGTGTTTATCTGTTAATCTTGTGTCATAAGTGTGTCAATCCAACACAAACTAAGCATAAATGCACATATCTCGGTGTGCGTGTCCACATCTAGAATTCACCATCATCCTAGGTGTTAAACAACTCTTAAACATTGTAATATATCAGTACGAGATCGAGGAATTCTCTCGAAAACCCAAAACAAATCCAAACAATATGCACAGGCCAAAATCTGCGTGGCGGTCGACCGCACATATGCGTCGGTCGACCACGACGGGTTCCAGGGGCTAACAGTGTCTCTGTCCTGCATGCGGTCGACCGTGGCGGGCGACCGCGTCCAGGGGCTAACAGTGTCTCTGTCCTGCATGCGGTCGACCGTGGCGGTCGACCGTGGACACACGCGGTCGACCGTGATCCAGATTTCTAGTTTCTCAGATTTTTAAATATGTGTCATGTACAGTTGTATTTATGTGATTCAAACATGATAGAAACTTCATGAATCTTACATACAAACATGCTACAGTAGATAGGAACATCTGGAAACAAATTCAACACATATAATCATGATTTTATGCATTAGATTTATATTCAAAACCCTAAAACATGCATAAAAGC